TATATATATATATATATATATATATATATATATATATATATACATATCTATATATATATATATATATATATATATATATATATATATATATATATATATATATATATATATATATATATATATATATATATATATATATATATATATATATATATATATATATATATATATATATACACACACACATACACACATATATATATATATATATATATATATATATATATATATATATATATATATATATATATATATATATATATATGTGTGTGTGTGTGTGTGTGTGTGTGTGTGTGTGTGTGTGTGTGTGTGTGTGCGTTTTTATATATGCATTTTTTACATTAAGTTAAACTTTTGTTTAATACTATTCATGTTAATTATTAATATTAATATTGTTATTAATTATTATTATTAATTATTATTATAAGTGGTTGTTAGGATGTTGCTATGTAACTACTAAATTGGTTCTAAATACATTTGTTTTTAGAATATCACTTTATGTTATGCAGTACCTAGTTTTTACCATGCAACTGTAAAAGCCATTCTGAGGATTTTTTAAAAAGATTTTGGATTTTTTAGGTGTTGCTATGCAGCTGCTAATAGTTTCAAAAGTTATTTTAATTTTTAATATAACTATGTGGTTTTTAGGGTGTTGTAATCACTGAAAGATTCAAAAGAGTTTTAAGAATTATATATGATTTACTATGTTGTTAGTAAATATTATTATTAATTATTATGATCCTCTTTGGGCAATACGTTTGTAACCAAGTGATCACTAAAGTGTATTTTTATATTTCAATGAAGCTGCTAGTGTGTTGTTTTGTAACTGTAAATAGGTTCTGGCACTTAGAACACCCTATATTAACCAAATTACAAAATGCTGAAACCACTCAAACATCTCAGGAGCTAGATACAGTTGAAGTCAGAATTTTTAGCCTTGTTTATTTTTTCCCCCAATTTCTGTTTATCAGAGAGAAGATTTTTTTCAACACATTTCTAAAAATAGTTTTAATAACTGATTTATTTTATCATTGTCATGATGACAGTAAGTCATGTTTGACTAGATATTTTCAAGACACTTCTATACAGCTTAAAGTGACATTTAAAGACTTAACTAGGTTAACTAGGCAGGTTAGGGTAATCAATAATAAAAATAATAATAGTTCCTTACATTTATATAGCGCTTTTCTGGCGTATATATTATATTATGACAAAAATTAGGCAAGGTACTGCATAACGATGGTTTGTTCTGTAGACTATCGAAAAAATATATAGCTTTAAAGGGGCTAATTATTTTGACCTTAAAATCTTAAAAAATTAAAAACTTTTACTGTGAAAATGTCCTTGCTCTGTTAAACCATTTGGGAAATATTTAAAAAAAAAAAAGAAATTTCAAAGAGAGGCTAATAATTCTGACTTCAACTGTACTTTGATACCTTTTTAGCATGTTGCTATGCAGTTTCAATAACGATTAGGTCTATCAAAACACCATCGGAACCTTACAGCAATATTATAAAATAACTCAGGACACCACAGTGAACGCATAGATTAGAAAAACCTTTAAATGCTCATCACATTTTTGTCAGACCATGCATAAATTTAGTTAAAAAAACTGCACCTTTAGCCGCAGATAATGCTTTAACGCATATCTTGTTTTTCCATTAACTTGCTTTGGCTTTTTATTTACATCACTGTGGTATTTTGGAGACGCATGTTTATCACATGTTCAAATCTATAGGCGTGTCCTAACCCTTAACAATCAAAACAACAGTGATGGCCTGCAGAACTGCTTATGTGGTTTAACATCAGAACTGTTTGTCTGGCATGAAACTTATGGCTTTGCCTTTACACAAAACCTTTACAAACTGCAAAGGAAATACACTGTAAAGGAGTTAATGACAAAAATTCAGGGTACAAATATTTAATAAATTAATTTTTAAAGTTATACAAAGCTTAACTTGTATTAATTTTAGTTTCCAGCTCCTCAAAATTATTTAATCACAAGGCAGCAAATGAATGCATTTATGCATATACACTGTAAAAATGCATTTATGTCTTGTTTCTAGTCCAATATTTATAAGAAATCCTAAACCAATTATCTAGACAAGCTTGTTGATTTAAAATGACAAAGCTGAAAGAATGGTTGACATCTTTACAGCAATGTAAACATCAAGGTTCTTTCAGGTTGGTCAGGTTTACATTTCTCTTTAGTATGCAGTATGACTTTCATTTTATGTTTGTGGCTCTGCATATACTGTACATGTTTGTTCATTTTTTTTCTTGTTTGTTTATTTTTTTTATTTTTTTTTAATGCAAAGCCTAACTAGAGATGAGGGCTGCAAATTAGCAATATGCTATATGCCCTAAGGTATGTACGCAACATCGGTTGTCTTTATTTAACTATGTCAAGTGTATGGTCCCTGTTAAATAAACAAGCAAATAAAAAAAAATCTTGTTGTCTTGTTTTCAATAATAATGTCAAAATCAAGTTACTTTTTAGTCTGTTTGATTAAGTTGAGACGACTAAAACTGAAATGATTCAACTAAAAAAATTAAGGCGGCATGATTTGTTTTACAGAGTACTTCTCTGTTTTTAGTACATGTAAACACACTCACACTCTCAGAAATAAAGGTACGCGAGCTGTCACTTAGGTGGTACTTTTTTCAAAAGTAACAAACTTGTACCTAAAAGGTCTATATTATTACCTCAAAGGTATATATTAGTACCTAAAAATTACAAAAGTGTTCCTCTTAATTTTTTTAGGTACTAATATATACTTTTGAGGTACCAATAGATCATTTTGAGAAATAAAGCAATGGTCCCAGAGTAAACAAAAACAATGGTCCCAGTGTATTTTCAATTTTCAATTTCTAGAGCTTTCAAAAATCTAAAAAGAGCCACATATTGATAAATAATATCATGATAGCCATTTTAACATTATGTTATGGTTGGATTGATGCTTGTTACAGTTATGAAATAGTTTTACAACAAGCAGGAAATGTTCACGGGCCAATGACATCTCCACATTGAAATGGTCTATATATGGCCCCTGAAGTAAAAACGCGTATCTTTTGAAAAGATACCACCCCATTGACAGCTCGAGTACCTTTACTTTTGAGAGTGTAAGATAACACAAACACACTGATAGACTCTTTTGGTGCCACACAAACACACAGTCACTGTTGTTCATGACTTCTGGTAAATTTGCATTAGGGGTGTGACATTTTAAGACTGTGGAACATTTCCTTTTGATGATACACAGAAACAACCTCGACCGGTTTGACCAGCACTGGCCTAAACTAAAGCTCAATGATGATGTAAATTCCAGGGAAAGGAATGTTTTTCAGACTGAAAACCAGGAACCAGTTCGTTTGACACTCCTTTTTAATACATTTAAAGTCAAACCAGTGCTTTAAAATATACAACGTCAATACAAAAACATAAAGAGCGAACAACATTTGAAGCAGAACAAAACATTTCATCAAAAACATCCATTTCTTGTCTTGAGATGTGAACCACTTCAAACGTCGACTACTCTATGTCAACATTAAATGCTGTGTGGAAATATCCCACATGTGGCTTTTAAATTCTAGCACATGTATAAATGTAAATAATGAACAGTCTATAATAAAGAAATGCATTTAAATCATCATACAGCTCATATATACAGTCAGACATAATCGACAATGATTCTTCATCAACAGTCCTGCTTTCTTCAACCCAGATTCTTCTCAAGTTCTTTCATTTATTTACTGTCTCTTAGTATCTGGGCTGGCTGTAGACTGTCGGCGGGACTGGGGAATACGTCGGCTGATAGGTATACCCAGGCTGGTATCCGTAAGGAGGCTGGTATCCATATCCGGGCGCATAAGAGTAGTTATAGGGAGCCGATCCGGCACGATACAAGACAGTAGCCATGTCTTCTTTGGCTTGGGTTCTTGGTGCATGTCGACAAAGCAGAATCACACCGGCGATGAAAAGCAGAGCAGAAGTGACCCATCCGACATATAAAGCCTCGCCAAGCTCTCTACGCTGTGCATCGATAAGCAAAGGGTTGTAGAAGTCTTGTATGATCACATGAGCAGTCCACGACACTGGAATAATAGTGGTCAAGCATCCAGCCAAAAACAAACAGCCTCCGCTCACCAGAACGATGTGCTTTACTTTGGGCCGGGAATCGACCAGACGGGTGCAACGCATGCCGACGGTGGCCACAATGCAACCGATGGCGGTCAAAGCAACAGAGGAGCACATAAGACCCCTGGCTGCTTGGAGATCCGGGGGAAGATACAGCAGAGAATCATACACTTTGCATTGCATTCGGATGTTGGCTTGCCTGTAGCAGTTCATCCATAAACCCTCCCAGCGGGTCTCCATCACGATGATGTTCTCCTGGATGAAAGCGGTCACTTTCCACATGGGGAGACCGGTGACGGCTGCGACTCCGATCAATCCGACAAACCCGATGATGAGCGCGACAACTTCGCAGCACATCGAATCCCGCCTCTTTCTTTTCTCCTTCTTGAGCTGCTCATCGTAGGCCTCCTGTGCAGATTTCTCATCTGTGTAGCCTGTGTACGCGTAGGACTTGTCCGCGTAGGATTTGTCTGCGTAGGATTTGTCCGCGTAGGATTTGGCTGTGTACGAGCCAGCCGTGTAAGACATGATTGTTGAGTACCAAGACAGAAAGACGTTCTCTGTCACAACGGCGTTCCTCCAATGAGACCGGAAAATCCAGATGACTGGTATTTATAGACAAGAAGAAAATGTTGATGCTATGTGATCAGACTGGTTCATCTGCTCTGGTGACACTTAAAGTGTTCAAACAAACAGAGGATGATTCCAGTGTGAGATTCAACTCAAAACAGAATGTAAACAGACAACACAGGCTTTCTGCAGCCTTCTGAAGAAGTCATTTTAAGAGTCTTTTAGACTTTCACAGGGCTAAACACTAAGGGTTTTGTCTGATGGCCAGATTACTTCTGTTAATAGCTCTTTTATTAATAGTAATCATGTAAAAGGATGTGTTGCTTTAGTTTTCATTCCCTGATTAGGCAATTTTATTTGGATAATTTCCTGTAAAATGTCTAACAGCTCTTGTGTATCTCTTTGCAATAAAAATCAGAAATATATATAAAAAAAGTTTTGAGATGGGGATTGGTTGTCAGCACGATTGGGTAGCTTTACATGGATATATGAAAATTAAGACCTGTTTAAAATGATTTATGACACGTTATTTTGGTGAATTTAAGACTTTTTAAGGCCTAAATTTTTTTTTTGAAATAAAGACTCCGTGGACACCCTTCAACAGTGTAGTATTGTTTTTTTAGGGTGTAATAGTTTGGGTCAGACTTTATTTTGATTGTCCGTTTGTTAAATATAAGTTACATTGTATCTACATGCCAACTAATTCTCATTGGATTATCAGTAGTCTGTTAGGTTTGGGTCAGGGTTTGGGTAAGTTGATGTGTACTTGCAAATTGTCTTATTGTCAGTTAAATGTCTGTTGTATGTCTGTATAAACAGATGTTAAGCAGACAGTTCACTAATACTCAAGTGGACCATCAAAATACAGTGTTACCACATTTTTCAGGTAAGGATTTAATGGAAATGGAAATAGATAGTAGCTTTTGAGGTATAATAACAAATATAAAAAAAGACTTAAAGGGATTGTTCACTCAAAAGTGAAATGTCACCATTTACTCACCCTTTACTTCTTCCAAACCAGTTCTTTTATGTTCTGTTGAACACAAAAGAAGAAATGTTGAAAAATGTTGGAAACCTGTAACTACTGACTTCCATAGTATTTGTTTTTTCTGCTATGGAAGTCAGTGATTACAGTTTTCCAGCATTCATCATTCACTTCCTTTTTTTCCCCAGCTTAGTCCCTTTATTAATCAGGGGTCGCCACAGCAGAATGAACTACCAACATATCCAGCATATGTTTTTTTTGCAGCCGATGTCCTTCCAGCTGCAACCCATACACTCTCATTCACACACATACACAACGAACAATTTAGCTTACACTATTCACCAGTACCGCATGTCTTTGGACTGTGGGGGAAACCGGATCACCCACAAACCCACGCCAACACAGGGAGAACATGCAAACTCCACACAGAAATGTCAACTGACCCAGCCGAGGCTCGAACCAGCAACCTTCTTGCTGTGAGGCTACCCTCTGTGCCACCGCACTACCCAGTTTTTTTTCCGTATCTTCTTTTGTGTTTAACAAAACAGTCACAAGTCAAGTGTGAGTAAATGATAACAGAGTTTTCATTTAGTGTGTGTTTACTAGCACAAAACTTTTAGCAGTTTTCACATTTCATTTGACATTTAATTATCATTATAATTAATAACATTAACTAAACAGAAACTCAAAATATATCTACACTTTTAATGTATTGTTTAGTTGAATTATAAAATTACCAAATAACTACCATGACCAAAACTGCTAATAATAACAAGTACTAAGAAGATATATATGCGTGTGTACTAAAAAATACTAAATTATTTTTTATTCATCAAATAAAATTAAATAACCAACTGCAAGGGGGTAGAATTGGCATGGACGGAGGGGAAATGTCCCCACCACGATCCACCAATAACTGAAATGTCCCTACCAGTAATTGAATCGAATTCAAATAAATTAATGCTGTCAAGTTTTTGTGCTGCTTACTCTTGCATATTTTGAGATCGAATGTCTGATGCAGGGGCGTCACAGTGGCTCAATGGTTAGCACTGTCACCTCACAGCAAGAAAGCCACAGGTTCGAGTCCCGGCTGGGTCAGTTGTATTGCATTTCTGTGTGGAGTGTGCATGTTCTGTGTGTGGGCGTGGGTTTTCTCCAGGTACTCCAGTTTCCCACACAGTCCAAACACATGCGCTATAAGTGAATTGAATAAGCTAAATTGGCCGTAGTGTATGAGCGAATGTGAGAGTGTATGGGTGTTTTCCAGTGTTGAGTTGCAGCTGGAAGGGCATCTCCTGTGTAAAGGTTGGAGGTTCATTCCACTGTGGTGACCACTGATGAAGGAAAGGACTAAGCTGAAGGAAAATTAATGAATGAATGTCTGGTGCAAATCCAGCATGTTTTCATCTGCTGTCTACGGTGTGTGCATAACTGGGTGGAGTGAGTATGATTGATGCACCTGTTTTTAATAAAACATCAATATGCAATACTTAATTTTAGAGCATGCTGAAAGCACTGCACTTAAATCCTATAAAGTATAAGGACAATATTAATGTAAGTTCTTCATACACAGAAATTGCTTAAAATGGGGAAGAACAGCTGGAAGTTTCTCTGATATTTCTCCTAAAGCACGTATATGATTGCTTAAAAGGAGAAAACATTACAACATTCATACTGTAATTAAATAATACAGCTATATCTTCTTTATAATTTAATAGTTTATTAGCATACCATACGACAGTACAGGTAGATGCACAATATTTGGTTTATAATTGCAAAAACAGAACAACAACAAATGACTTTGGTTTTAATAGCGGTTTTTATACTTTTTAATAGTGCAATATTTATTAGTATAAATGAAAAAATATAACTGATCATAAAACAAAAATAAAGCATTGTTTTAATCCTATCCTATGACAATCCTATTAGTCCCATTTATCAAACATCTTACTTGTGAATGCACAAAATACTTGTTTTCTTTATAAAAAACAGAATTACAATTAATTAATTCATGCTGTAACGTTTGATCATGCACAGTCATATCACTTTATATCAGTATATATACACATATCACTGCTGTAGTTATAAATGTACACGTCATGTCACTTGGTATAAAAGCATATACTGTAAGTATGAAAATATACATTAGATGCATTTAATAACATAATCAAATGCACCTGAATTCAGCTGTGAGATCCATCCATCTAAGATGACAAAGAATAACACATTCAGGTGACCAGAATGGGAAAAGAAATAATTAAAAAAAGAAATAATTTAACATAGTATACATATAACATAATATAATAATATATAATAATCTACAGATGTACAGTTGAATTATTAGCCCCCCTTTGATTTTTTTTTCTTTTTTGAATATTTTCGAAATGATGTTTAACAGAGTACGGAAATTTTCACAGTATGTCTGATAATATTTAGTCTTCTGGAGAAAGTCTTATTTGTTTTATTTCAGCTAGAATAAAAGCAGTTTTTTAATTTTTTTTTTAACCATTTTAAGGACAATATTATTAGCCCCTTTAAGCTAATTTTATTTTCGATAATCTACAAAATAAACCATCATTGTGCAATAACTTGTCTAATTACCCTAACCTGCCTAGTTAACCTACTGTAATTAACCTAGTTCAGCCTTTAAATGTCACTTTAAGTTGTATAGAAGTGTCTTGAAAAATATCTAGTCAAAAATTATTTACTGTCATCATGGCAAAGATAAAATAAATCAGTTATTAGAAATGAATTATTAAAACTATTATGTGTAGAAATGTGTTGAAAAAAATCTTCTTTCCGTTAAACAGAAATTGGGGAAAAAAATAAAGAGGGGGCTAATAATTCTGACTTCAACTGTATAGTATACAGCACGAGTATCAAATGCATAAACGCAAAGACTTCAACAACTTCAGATTTTTATAAATTATATCTAATAAATGCTTAATTAGTTATAAATTATTTAATATAACATACCATAACCCAAGCAAGCATCTAGCATAAATACTTATATTTAAAAATGTGTAACGTAACATAACATAACATAAACATGCATGTAGCATAAATGCACTTATAAATGCGTTTCAAATCTGTCAGTTGGTTTCCAAAGTGTCTAAATTTATTTAACCAGTTGCATTTAATCCAATTTTCCAGAATTCAACGTTAACATTTTACAGGAGTCAACAAACTCAGATTTCTCAAAGCCAAAATTTGAGCAGAAATAAAATTATTTGATATAACATACCATAACATAAGCATGCATGTAGCATAAATATATTCATTAATGTGTTTAAAATTTTAAAGTTTTGTATAAAAAAAAAGTGTCTAAATGTATTTAATCAGTCGCATTTAATTCAATTATCCAGAATTTAACTGTAAAATTTGACATAATTTCAAGTCAACAAATTCAGATTTCTCAAAGCCAGAATTGGAGCAGAAATAAAGCCATATCGATGGCTAGAGTTACATTCTCCTACTCAGACGTACTGACTCTTCCTATAGGTGTTGGAAGAGGATGTTCTCTCCACCAAGTTCATCTCCTCCTTTTCTCTTTCCAGTGGAACAAACGACTCCTCGAAACGATCATCCTCCTTACACCGGCAGAGAAAAATCCCCCCAGCGGCCAGCAAGAGAGCAAACGTCACAAACCCCAAATAAAGCGACTGTCCGATCTCCCGCTTCAGAGACTGCTCAACATTGGGGTTGTAGAAATCCTGCACAATGGTGTTTGTTGTCCAGCTAACAGGAATGAGAACGGTCAGAGCGGCGATCACAAACAGACACCCGCTGACTATCAGGATCATGTTTTTATTTCGACCGCAGCTTGTGCTCCTCATCCCGAATATGGACATCCCGAAAGCCACTACAGACAGAACGACAGAGGCGCACATAAAGCCACGAGCCGCCTGGATATCTGCTGGAAGAATGAGCACCGAATCGTAGACTTTGCATTGCATGTAGAAGTCGGCCTGCCGGACGCACACCATCCACAAACCAAGCCACTCCGCCTCCATCACGATCAGATTGGCGCCAATGAAAGCCGTGACCTTCCACATGGGCATTATAGTCACTGCAATGGTTCCGGTCATGCCCAGAGCCCCAAGAACCAAAGCTAGGATCTTCAGTTTGTCCCTCATGATGGCAGAGAGAGAGTGGCAGAAGTGATGTTTCGAGCAAACGTGTGTCTCTTTATCTGACAGGAATGAGGTAGAAGGGGCTGGCTCAGCGGTGCTATGCGGTAATGCTGGTTTCTGGAACTGAAGACAAATGGATGCAGTTTTTGTTTAAGCAGAGGTCCTAAAAACTTGTCCGAAATTTGTTGATGTAGTGCTAACTGATCGAGCCGGTTAAACAGATCCAAATCAGCGAGAGAGTATGATGAAGTTGTATTAGTACTTTCAGGGCGTTTTTTATACAGGTATATTGTTTGCTGTGTTTAGAAATGGGGATTAAATGCGTTAAATGTGTTGCAGTTTTGTTTTTTATATTGGTTTGGTTCACTTACTCATGACAATACAGTATTTCTAAAGAGACTAGAAGAGCTTTCACATCTCTGACACATTTCTTTTAGTCCAGACCAATGTATAAAATGATACACTAGCATTTTCATTTGTTTTGGTCTCATCTCACATCAAACTGAATGCTCTGAACTGAACCAGTTGAAACAAACCAAAATGGAGCATTCACATCAGTCGTTGGATAGACAAATTTCCTGAACTGCATTTTGATTGGTCAGAATTAGCGTCCGATAAACTCATGTGCACAACATACTGAGGTAAACAAAGAGCAGAAGAAAAGTCAGCAGGCAGTGTGGATCTCCTCACAACTCCTCATTTGTCTGCGACCTGCCATAATTGCAGGCTGCGTCTGAAATCGCATACTTCCATACTATATAGTACGCTAAAAACAGTATGTGAGGCGAGTAGTATATCTGAATTTATAGAATTCAAAAAACAGTATGCCAGAAGTACCCGGATGACCTACTACTTCCGGCGGATTCTGAAGTGCGCATTAGATGCACGCTACGCTATCCCATGATGTGCTGCAAGATAATTCATAATTGAAAGTAAAGCAGGAGTGTCACGTGATCATGACAAAATGGCGGATGTAATACGTCCAAGTTCCACTTCTGTTCCACGCACTTTTGTAACGCTCGAGTAAATTCAAATGCAGTACCTACTAGGGTTGGGTGATGTCGACCAATTTAGCATCTTAATAATGTGAAACACTGCGATGGACGATGGCATCGTCGTTGTAGGCGGTGGTGAATTCATTACGAATTAATTATTTATAGTCTACCGTTTCAACTACCTGACCCGCATGGTCTGTGTTTAACCCATTACCAAATAGAGATAAGTTACAAACAAATGACCACCTGTCAATCACTTTTTCTGCGGAACTCTGGCATGAATAGGCAGAGTGATCTGTGCCGATATAATCCCATCGACAAACTTTGGTTGGTTAAAAAAAGGTGCACAACCAACAACATCTGAGGTTTTCGCCAAAATTACTAAGTACAAGCGTGAAAACGAAAGATTAAAGCAGTGTACTGATGCTGTGACACGTTATCTGATAGATTCAAGCGACCGAAGAGTCATTAGAAAGAGACAATATTGTTTAAATATCTTGTTTAACAGCTATAGTGAGAAACAATCCAGCGGTACATCCTTGATAAACTGTCCAACGTGCACTCCTCTCTGGGGTTTTGTGCTCAAAACACCCACTGACTGCCTGGAGCTCAGATATGCACATACGCTGCAGCGCATGCCTGAGTGTGTGTGTGTGTGTGTGTGTGGTCACGTGATGTGTGTTTTCAGCGGTATAGTATGGAAGGAGGGCTTTTTAGAAATGCTAGATGAAACGCCAGATGGGACATGGATCATTTTCGTTCTAAAAAGCCATTCTAAATCTAAGACATTTTAGTGTAAACGGGGCCTAAGTGTATCTTTTTCACGAGTGGGTTGCTGCTGCGACGAGTGCAGGGCGGAGGATCACGATGCTAGCTCAGCATTGTGATGTCTATCGGCCATCATCGATGTACGTCTATGGACCCAACCCTAGTGAAAAAGTTAAGCACTTTTGCATTTGTGCCAGTTCGAGGTTGGTTCACGTTCTCAAAACTAATGAACCACTCTAGGGTTTGTTTGGAAGTGTACAGAGATCACATCTTCGAGCAGATCTCGTTACATTTGTTTGGTCCGCTTTGTCTAAAGACCATTTTCTAACCCCTGTGGGATACACAATAAGGATTATTCAATTTAATTTTGGTGCTCAACTAAGTACGATTGCTGCTTTCATACCTGCTCAAATGAACCACATAAAAAAGGTAAACGAACTCTGGTATGTTTTAAGCAAACTAAATGATGCTGGTGTGAAAGCACCTTGTGGTTTCGGTTAAAAACTCGTTATATTCGTGACATCACAGTGACAGCAGTTGATAGGTAATGGCACCGAAATGGCTGAATATCACTGCTTGCGTGCCTCTGGTTTGAACATTTCGACATTAAAAAGGTAATTTAGTTCTTAATGTACCAACAATTCCGTCCATTTATCATGAATGTCATGCAAATGTTGAACTGAAGGAGAAGAGAATTGTTTTTTTTTCTCTCTGCTTGTCAGAATATACACATAAATAAACCACTTGACCAACAAATATTTGATTAATAGCGGTTCAGTTCCTCTGATTTGGTATGACTGCGTTCACATTACACTGTGACTTACTGTTCACAGACACACACCCGAGTTCAGGAAACCGTGCTCATTCTAGCTAAATGAACTGAACTTTCTGATTCTGTTGCACCTGTTTCAGGATATTGGAAGAAAAACTGATACTGTGATATACGTATATTGATAAAGTGATACGAATAGTCAACTGATGACCCAAATAGCTCTATTTGGAAAAAAAAATCATAATTTTACATTGACCCTGTGTTAAATTGAGGTCTGGTTATGTGATATTTGTAGGTGAGTGCATCTCCATCAAATATGAAAAAGTAAAAGATAAACACAATTAAGAAATATGCAAATGAAATAAACATGTGTGGACTTCCTGTGAGTATTCAGGCACAGAAAGTAAAAATCAAATGACCCATGTGTTTTAAACACCCTTGAATTGCTCCAGCAGTCTGTAAAGCACATGCATAAGATAACATTTGCTCACATTTTGCAATGACTCCAATGTTCTGAATTGCGGTGCGTGGTGATCTATAATCCTATAACTTGTGATGTGGCTATTGTGGATGTGCACTTTGCAATGACAAAGCTGTAACGGTATATCCTGCTGATATATTGCTAGTCAGATGTGGATTTCTTTGAAGCTCTTGTTATGCACTTCTATAATTCTGTGCAAGCTTCAAGGCTTTACCCCCTTCACACAGTAATAGCGGTAAATTAAATACTTTACATGTAAATTCAAATATGTCCTGCTCACACAAGTCAAGTAACATTCATTTCTACAGCACTTTTACAATGCAGATTGTGTCAAAGGAGCTGTACATATATGAAAAATACAAGAATAAAAAGTCATAACAATAAAGGACCCTGTAAAAAAAACAGTCTTGAGTTCCATGAGTGCATTTGTGGGAGTAGCCATACACTGTATGGGTCAAAATGATCAATCTTTTTTTTATATTTAGCTAAAAATCATAACAATATTAAGTAATTAAATCATATTCCATGAAGTCATTTTGTACATTTATACAAAAAGCCAAACAATCTTACTTAATCTTACTTCAATCTTACAAAGAAAAAATAAGGTTATTTTGCTTCCCCATTGGCAGATTATTTGACTTATTTTAAGGGAAACACACTTCATTTTGACTTATTATTTCTGAAAGCAAGACAATATTTATTGCTTGTCTGGAAATTGTTTTGTTATTTATTATGATTGATCAATTTTAGATATGAATCAGAAACATTTATTGGAGACATTCATTGGAGCTTACTGTCTTACAGAGCAGTTCACAGTTACAAAAAGCATAAATATCTAATGGTTGTCGAAGGAAACTTACTGACATGTTTGGATGGTATTTTCTTTTAAGGTTATCTCTGTATAATGCATATTAAATACCATGTAATAAAACGTATTGTTCACATTTTTAAGAAACAATATACTGCATTAAAAATTAAAGAGGTACAATGCAACCTGAATAATAATAAATTAATTCATCATGTAATTTAAAAACATTATTCAGATTAAAATATTACAAAGTACAATATTAAAATAGTATAAAACATAATTAAAATAGCAAAAGAAACTTCAATTTTAAGAGGGGTATCTACTCTATTATTATTATTATTATTATTATTATTATTATTATTAACATTATTATTATTATTATTAACAACTGGTTATTTACTCACCCTCATTTTGATCCAAATCACATGGCTGTAAAGTACAAACTGAGAATTGGTCTTCTTTCAGTTTCAAACATCTGCAAAGGAAATGAACGCATACATAAATTAACAAAAAACTTAAATTGAGTTAAAAAAAATACAATATTTGCCTAAAATCATTACAATATTAAGTAATTAAATCATATTCCATGAAGTCATTTTGTACATTTAAACAAAAAGCCAAACAATCTTACTTCAAATCAAACATTAGGTTATCTTGCTCACCCCATTGGCAGATTATTTGACTTATTTTAAAGGAAAACACACTTCATTTTGACTTATTATTTCTAAAAACAAGACAATATTTATTGCTTGTCTAGAAAATGTTTTGTTATTTATTATGATTGATCATTTTTAGATATGAATTATATACTTTTATTGGAGACATTCATTGGAGCTTACTGTCTTACAGAGCAGTTCACTGTTACAAAACGCATAAACATTTAATGGTTGTCGAAGGAAACTTACTGTCAAGTTTTAATTGTATTTAATTTTAAGGTTATCTCTGTATAATGCATATTAAATACAATTTGATAAAATGTATTGTTCAATTTTTTTTTATAAAACAATATACTGCATTACAAATTAAAGAGGTACAATGCAACCTGAATAATAATAACATAATTCATCATGTAATTTAAACATTATTCAGATTATAATATTAAAAAGTACAATATTAAAATAGTATAAAACTTAATTAAAATAGCAAAAAAAAAAATTTTTTAATTTTAAGAGGGCTATTCACTCTATTATTAATATTATTATTATTATTAACAACTGGTTATTTACTCACCTTCATTTTGATCCAAATCACATTGCTGTAAAGTACAAACGTGTAAAGTGTAAAGTTTGTCTTCTTTCGATTTCAAACATCTGCAAAGGAAATGAACACACATACATAAATTTACAAAAAAAATTATTATTAAGATAAAAAAAATACAATATTGACTACAAAAAATACATTACAAAAATACAGCTAACAGAAACGCAAAAGTAGCATTCAGCTGGTGATATCCTGATTTCGATGAATAAATAAAAGTATTTCTATTTTTAAAAGACAAAACAACATAATAGATTGCATTAATATTAATACATATGCAAGAATGCTAAAGTAATACTGCAGTTTTGAGTGGATCAAATTAAATACAATAAAAAAAACTCTATTAGCCCCCGATATTAATCTAGGATTCCTAGAGGAAGTCATATTTTCTTAGCATTTATATATAAGGCTCTAAAATGAAACTACGAGGAACAAAACCCATTTTGTAACGTGCAGTTTCACTGAGAGTCTGTACTGTACATAATTATGCTTGAAACCACAGTTACATAATCATATTCCAGGCTACTTATAATAATAACAAAAACAAAGTTAATAAAGTGTTATTATAAGTATGCACATAACATAAGAATACTTATAATAATTTTAAAAACACAGTTAATAAAGTGTTATGGCTGCTAAATAGTCTCAGCTCTATTAGCAGGAGTTAAAGGGATAGTTCACACCAACATTTATTTAACCATTATGAGTTTCTTTTGTGTGTTTGTATATGTGTGTGTAAAATAAAAAAGCAGATACTTTAAAAAATGTTGATAACTGAAAGCCACATTGACATTAATTCTATGAAAAAAAAGATATTACGGTAGTACATGGTAGGCTACAAATTTCGAACATACTTTGAAATGTCTTCCTTTTGTGTTCAACAGACAAACAAACAGATTTGGAACAAGCAGAAGGCGAGTAAACATCCCACTTGAAACAATACTGAGGGCGATACGGTGGCTCAGTGGTTAGCACTGTCGCCTCACAGCAAGAAAGTCACAGGATCGAGTCCTGACTGGGTGAGTTGGCATTTCTGTGTGGAGTTTGCATGTTCTCCCTGTATTGGCGTGGGTTTCAGTCCAAATACATGGACTTTAGGTGAATTGGGTAAACTAAATTGTCCGTAGTGTATGAGTGTGAATGAGTGTATGGATGCTTTCCAGTACTGGGTTGCAGCTGGAAGGGCATCAGCTATGTAAAACATATGCTGGATAAGTTGGCGGTTCATTCCGCTGTGGCGACCCCAGATTAATAAAGGGACTAAGCCGAAAAGAAAATGAAAGTATGAATGAAATTGTCCGTAGTGTATGAGTGTGTGTGTGAGGTGTGGATGGATGGTGTTTCCCAGTACTGGGTTGCGGCTGAAAGGGCATCCGCTGTGTAAAACACATGCTGGATAAGTTGGCGGTTCACTCCACAGTGGCGACCCCTGATAAATAAAGGCACTAAGCCAAAGAAAAATGAATGAACAATGAAACAATACTGTAGTATTTTAAAGTAAATACTAGTGTTTTTGAAATATACTTGAATTAATCTGTTGTGGCAAGTCTGTAGTTGATATGATAACCCAAAAACTATAGTATTATATAAGCAAATTACCCAGTACTACAGTTTTTTGACAGTGGCATAGCCAGTATTATACTACAGTACACTAGTTTATTGTAGTAAAGTGAAAGAATACTAAAGTATTTACTTTAGTTTATCAGTTCACTATAGTAAATACCACAGTGTGCTGTGACCTTCGTTAAGAAATTGATGTAAATAATATAATATATAGCCTACACAGTATAATAAGCTTTACTATAGTCTTGTTTTAAAACAGTGCAGCACAATGGCGCAGTGGGTAGCACAATCGCCTCACAGCAAAAAGGTCACTGGTTCGAGGCCCGGCTGGGTCAGTTGGCATTTCTGTGTGGAGTTTGTGTTCTCTCCATGTTGGCGTGGGAGCACCTCCGGGTGCTCCGGCTTCCCCCACATCCAAAGACGTGGTATTGGTGAAGCTAAACTGTCGTATGAGTGTGAATGGATGTTCCCACTCAGTGATGGTTTGCAGCTGGAAGGGCGTCCGCTGCGCAAAACATATGCTGAATAAGTTGGCGGTTCATTCTGCTGTGGCGACCCCAGATTAAAAAGAGGTACTAAGCCGAAAGGAAAATGAATGAATCAATGAATGGTTTAAAAACTCTGTAGTATTTACTATCAGATATTAATTGAAGTAAAGTTGGTTTTATATTCACACATTCAGACTTTCCCCTTAATAATAGTTTCAGAAAAAGAGGTAAACATGGTTTTATATTCACACATTCGTTGATTTAGCAGTCTATATATTGTTTACTATGTTACTTTGAATATTCGGTCGGAATTAGCATGCAAGTGTGACTTGAAAACAACATTAACACTATTTATTTGACTGTGAACAATGTTGTACTTTGATAGTCATTGGCTGCTAATATAATTTCCCTTTTTAAAATTTGCAATGAATACTTTTCTGAAATGATATTATTAAGGGGAATGTCTGAAAATCCGAATATAAAACCAACTTTACTTCTGTTTCAGAAAAGGATTCTTTGCAAATTCTACATAGTGAAATTATATTAGCAGGCAAAGTGTTTGCAGTGAAATAAATAGTGTTAATGTTGTTTCAAGTCATTCTTACATGTGATTTCTGACCCAGTAATATTCAAAGTACCATGGTAAAAAAACAGGAAGCATGTCACAAGTTACACTGAACGAACGTGCGAATATAAAACCAACTTTACCTCAATAAATTAGTATTTTTGTCATGTGAAATGACTTTAAAGTTCATTTTATACGCTAAATGTATGTAAGGAAACCTACAATCATCATTCAAGTCATCTACAATGCATAAAAACAACGGTAAACCATATTTTAAAAACGTAAACAATGACGGCCATATTTCAAAACGCTGTTCGCGTTTACAGGAGCTGAAAGAGAGCAGATGTGTGTCTCTCAGCTGAGCTAAAATGCCACTAATGTTCACGTACATGTAAAACTATAATCGGGTCAATGGAGAGTCAACAGAAACTGTCAAACCTGTCTGACGGGTCGAGCCGCTGGGAAACCATGTGTGACTTGAGTTTCACACGACAAACCAATCAAAACAACAGCGACACAAGCTGCAGGTGACTTATAGAAAGCTACTCAGTCGATATTACACACTTTACTTTCACTAGACAGATAAGTTTCATTTCTGTCCACAAAGAGCCGCTATACATACTATGGGAAATACTTATGGGGCATTAATGGACACTTTAGCTGAAATAGAGGCTTGTTTGAGGCCTGGAATGAAAACGCGCCTCAGGGTTGGTTTAGTTAAACGAAATGTCTGTGCGCCATAGTGAGTAAGTTGGTGTATTACTGCATATTTAACAAATAAAATCGCCTCAAAGATTTGCATTCATTCATTCATTTTATTTAAGCTTATTCCATTTATTATTCATTGTTCGCCACAGCGCAATGAACTTATCCAGTTTTACGCAGCGGATGCCCTTCCAGCTGCAACCCAACACAGGGAAACACCCATAAGCTCTCACTCACACACATACTCTAAGGACAATTTAGCTTACCCAATTCACATATAGCACATGTTTTTGGACTTGTGGGTGAAACCTAGAGGAAACCCAGGATTCAACAAATACTAGAAATGTTCCTCAGAGATTTTGGTCCATATTGACATGATAGCATCACGCAGTTGCTGCAGATTTGTCGGCTGCACATCCAAGATGCCAATCTCCCGTTCCACCACATCCCAAAGGTGCTTTGTTGGATTGAGTTCTGGTGACTGTGGGGGCCATTTGAGTAGTGAACTCATTGTCATGTTCAAGAAACCAGTCTGAGATGATTTGCGCCTTATCACATGGCACATTATCTTGCTGGAAGTAGCCATCAGAAGATGGGTACACTGTAAAGGGATGGACATGGTAAGCAACAGAACTCAGGTAGATTGTGGTGTTTACATGATGCTCAGTTGGTACTAATGAGCCCAAAGTGTGCCAAGAAAATACCGTCCATACCATTACACCACCAGCAGCCTGAACTGTTGATACAAGGCAGGATTGATCTATGCTTTTGTGTTGTTGTTGTTGCCAAATTCTGACCCTACCACCCGAATGTTGCAGGAGAAATCGAGACTCATCAGACCAGGCAAAGTTTTCAATCTCCTATTGTCCAATTTTGGTGAGCCTGTGTGCATTGTAGTCTCAGTTTCCTGTTCTGAGCTGACAGGAGCGGCACCCAGTGTGGTCTTCTGCTGCTGCAGCCCATCCGCCTCAAGGTTGGACGTGTTGTGTGTTCAGAGATGCTCTTCTGCAGACCTCGGTTGTAACAGGTGCCTATTTGAGTTACTGTTGCCTTTCTATCAGCTGGAACCAGTCTGGCCATTCTCCTCTGACCTTAACAAAGCATTTGTACCCACAGAACTGCAGCTTATTGGATATTTTCTCTTTTTCAGACCATTCTCTGTAAACCCAAGAGATGGTTGTGCATGAAAATCCAGGTAGATCAGCAGTTTCTGAAATACTCAGACCAGCCCATCTGGCATCAACAACCACGTTCAAAGTCACTTAAATCCCCTTTCTTCCCCATTCTAATGCTCGGTTTGAACTGCAGCAGATCGTCTTGCCTATGTCTACATGCCTAAATGCATTGAGTTGCTGCAATGTGATTGGTTGATTAGAAATTCTTGTTAACGAACAGTTGAACGGGCGTACCTAATAAAGTGGCCGGTGAGTGTAAATATGTCTATTACACCAGCCTGGTTTTAGACGGGTTTTGGCCATTTCCAGCCTGGTTTCCAGCTATTTCCAGCCTGGTCTTAGCTGGTCAGGCTGGGAGATTACCAGCTAAAACTACCTTGACCGCAGCCTATCCAGGCTCGGAGCCCAGCCAAAACCAGCTATGTCCAACTTAAACCAGGCAGGAAATGGCCAAAATCCCTCTAAAACCAGGCTGGTCAACCAGCTAAAAACCAGCCAACCAGCCTAGACTAGTTTAAACTGTGCTTTTCAGCAGGGAAGGTTCCACCTGTATTATGAAACAATTCATGATATTGCAAAGAAAAAAAATCTATACTAACATTATCATTGTTCAAATGAAAGCAAATTTAATGATATGTTTAGTAATTAAAAAATAAACACATGAAAAATCTAGACCTGACATGACATTAATGAAAGATACTCTAGCACATCGTGTCAAAATTGTCCTTCATTATATAACTGACTGACCTGAATACCACAAGAAGCAATCTGCCAACTCCTATAGATGAACTCACTCATGAATTAATGTCTATAATGATGCTGCGTGTGGTCTGATGATGTCAACAGAGAAGCTCTATCTGCACTGTATCTTAAATCCATCTGGGAGATTTATTGCTTCACTCATGGTATATTTCACTCTGGAGTTTCAGCCTGAAGCGATCACGGTACAATCCACCTCCATCCGTCAGCAATGCTGTAAAAACAGACATTTCACTGTGATTGACTTTTTATACCATGATGGTCGAGATCAGACATGCTCTTCTTAATAACCCAGGAAGATATGCAGAAGCATTGAGGAATCACTCAGCTACGGATATGTACGAAAACCAATTTATTTGATATAATATCAATCCACAGCTCTATGTACAAAATAAAAACGCAGTCTCTATAGCTCAGTGGGGCTTTCCATTACAGTTCAGTATCATCTAAAATATTCTCCAGTGGCTCTTCTTGATTGCATTCAGCACATTTGGGAGTTTCTAAACAAGAATTAAAAAAAAGGTACTCGTGAGGAAATCACAGTTGAAAATTAAAAAATAATAATAAAATAAATTATTCAGCCAGGTTAAATGCTTGGATTATCTTTTATGAACGTCATGGGTGTTAAAAAGCTTCATTATGTGTCATTAAAAGTGTAGTTTATTTTTTTAAATGATAGGTAAAGTTCATTTTAGACAGATAATTAAAAAAAAAAATAGTTTATTTGCACACCATCAAGGTCATCTGAGATGTAGGTGACTTTAAAAATCAGTAGAACAATAATAATTAGGGCTGCACAATACATCGTTTCAGTGAAGTTTGTTTATAAAGTAATTTCGAGAGGATCACGTGCTTATAATTGCTTACGGCTGGTCCTGAATTATCCAATTTATGATTCGCCAATCAGACGATTCCTATAAGCCACTATAAATACCCTAGGTTTCATATAACAGCCATCTTCGTTTTGAAGAATTCCTCCTTCCACCCTTTCTCCTTTCCTAGATGCGTGGCACGATGGCCCAGTGGTTAGCACTGTTGCCTCACAGCAAGAACTAGTTCTAGTCCTTAACAAGCCAGCCGACGTTTCTGTGCAGAGTTTACATGTTCTCGCATTGCTCACGTGGGTTTCCCCCAGGTTTACCGGTTTCCTCCCACCGTCCAAAAACACGCAACTTAAGTTAACTGACTAATCCAAATCGGCACCATAGACATGATCCTATCAAATAGATATCTCTTAAGTAGGCCCACACAGAATCTGCGCGCGCAGAATTCCGCAGATTTCTGCAGTTTTTTAGCCCCATATAAATTCTGTTTATTTACTTGAGTAAATGTGTAAATCTAAATTTATTCAGTTTTTATTCAATAATTTATTACTTTTTGTGTAATATATTAAAGTGTAAGTTATGACACTCCGCTGGATACTCCAAAATAATTCGGCAGATTTCTGCAGTTTTTTAGCCCATTATTAATTCTGTTTATTTACTTGAGTAAATGTGTAAATCTAAATGTATTCAGTTTTTATTAAGTAATTTATTACTTTTTATTTAATATATTAAAGTGTAAGCAGGGCTCAACAATAAGGACTGCCCGCTGGCCCGGGGCCAGTGTGCAAGACGCTCGGGACAGTATACAGAATGGTTACTGGCCCGATCGGGGCTAGTGCTGCCTTGTCACTAAAATTTAATTTAGCTGCGACTGTCAATTGCATGCTTTCATGCCCAGACGTGTTTCAAAACTTGTTTGCCCAGTAAGCGTGGTTCGTGCGGCTAATACAGGGGTTCAACGCTATGGATTTTTTTTACTGGTCTGATCGGGCCAGTGGTTTAGATTTTTACTTGCCCTGCCAAAATTTTTACTGGCCCCACCAAAAAAAAAAAAAAAAAGTTAAAAGCTATTTTTCAGCCGCATATTTTAAATAATGTGTCAAAAATAAAGTCTGTGAATCTAGAATTTCAAAAAAAAAATAATAAAAGTGTAATGCAAACAAAAAGAGCAGTATGGAAAATGTGCAGGTATTTTATTGCGGTTCGAAATTATTTAACAAAAGGTGGGCTGACTGTGACATCAAATCAGATAAGCGGAACCGGAAAGCAATATGGTGTTTACGACTTCATTGAGAAGGGAGTGTTTAAAGACTTAAAAGCACAAACTTAAAATATACATAATTGAAATAGTCGCAGACAAATGAAATGTTAGTGACAAGGCAGCACTGTCCCAATCGGGCCAGTAATGATCCTGTCTACTGTCCCAAGGGTCTCTCACGCTGGCCCTGGGCCACCGGGCAGTCCTTATTGTTGAGCCCTGTAATATGATTATTATGTTGATGGATCAAGCAAGAACAAGAAGTGAAATGCATTTTAAAGCTAGATTTACAAATAAATGAAAAATAAAAATATTGACAGTATTATAGACTGATGTAATGAGCCGGTTTATAAAATTAGGAATTTTGGTTGGTTATAAACAACAAAAAAAAACATAAAATTGTCAACTAAATAATTCAACTAAACCACACATTAAACCATTCACTTTATTTAATCTAATCAGTATTGTATTTAAATTAAATCATTTTTAAATTGTCAGTTGTATTTAAAGAAAAGCTATGCTAAATAATTAAATGGCTAACTTTTTTGGTGGGGCCAGAGAAAATTTTGGCAGGGCAAGTAAAAATCTGAACCACTTGCCCAATCGGGCCAGTAGAAAAAAATCCCTAGCGTTGAACCCTGGTGTAAGTTATGATACTCCGCTGGATACTCCCAAAATAATTCCGCAGAAATCTGCAGATTTTTACCAAAATTCTCCGCAGAAATAGCATAAAACGTCCGCAGATTCCGTTTGGCCCTGCTCTTAAGCAACCACTATCTGTTCATTAGCTACTACAGCAGGGGAGTTCTCGAGAACTACCTGAGCTCAAACTCCCCTCTCACCTTGCAAACAGGAGGGAGCTCCTGCTTATGAGCTCAGGGCTCTCTCCCAGGACATCATGCCAAACAAGCTTTATAATCAATCATCAGCTAAGTGTGAACTCTTAAAGCATTGATATAGCAGTGTGAGCATTCAAAATAGTCTCGATGAGTATACGCAGTGTTGAGTCTGGATTATAATTGATCATTCCACGAGTGTTTTTTTTAAGATCTGGGACTGTGTGAGGGTTTTGAAAGTATTCAGGCATAGGAAATTATACTGTTTGTAATTTGACAAATTAACAAGGATTCATCTTATTGAACTGTTTGTAAAATCAAGACTATGCAGTGGTTTTTTACACTTGATTATTCGATTACTGTTTACCTGAATACAGTTCTACTCCTCGGAAAACAATTCATTCATTCATTTTCTTTTCGGCATAGTCCCTTTATTAATCTGAGGTTGCCACAGCGGAATGAACCGCCAACTTATCCAGCATATGTTTTATGCAACGGATGCCCGTCCAGCTGCAACCCATTACTGGGAAACACCCATACACACTCATTAACACTACGGACAATTTTTAGCCTACCCAATTCACCTGTACCGCATGTCTTTGGACTTGTGGGGAAACCGGAGCACCCGGAGGAAACCCACGCCAACACAGGGAGAACATGCAAACTCCACACAGATATGCCAACTGACCCAGCCGAGGCTCAAACCAGTGACCTTCTTCCTGTGAGGCGATATCGCAAACCACCGCGCCACCCCGTTGCTCTCAGAATAATGTGCATTATATTTTATGAACTCCCCTACAGAATCATTCCAATCAATCTAAAATTATAGATTATTTCAGATATTTATTCAACTCATCAAGTGAACTTGTATTCATATCGCAATCTATATCGCAGAATTCTAATATGGTGCAGCCCTAATAAAAACGTTAAGGAGAGAATAATAACCAGCACATTAGAAAAAAAAAAAAAACTACATATAGGCAAAACTAAATTATTGTGTAAACTCTCAGAAATAAGGGTACAGGAGCTGTCACTGGGGCTGTCCCTTTCCAAAAGGTACATATTTGCACCTGAAGGGTCCATAATGGTACCTCAAAGGTACTTTTTAGGTACATTTGGGCACTAATATGTACCTTTGAGGTACCACTGTGGACTGTTTGGGTACAAATATGTATCTTCTGAAAAGGTAGAGTCCCAGTGACAGCTCCTGTAGCTTTACTTCTGAGAGTGTAGGCAAACTCTGTTGTGATTGTTTCACTTCACAACAAAGTGTATTTTCAGCAGTTATGAGTATTGATTTTTGTTTTGCCTGCACGTGCTTTTATTTATTTTTTAACACTGCTTGATTTGCATTTTAGGAATGTTTCTAGCTAAAATCTTCTTTAAAGTGACAAAATAGACTCATTTTACTTTTTTAACAGTTAAACAGTTGAGTTTGACTATTTTTGAATCCATTTAGGCGATCTCAGAGTCTGCCTGGAATTCTTTTAGATTAGCTTAGCTTAGCATAAATCATTGAATCAGATTAGACCGTTAGCATGTCACTCAAAAAAAATAATTAAATAAAAAAAGGGCAGCGGTGGTGAGTGGGTTGTGCTGTCGCCTCACAACAAGAAGGTCGCTGGTTCGAGCCTTGGCTGAGCCAGTTAGCATTTCTGTGTGGAGTTTGAAAGTTCTCCCCGAGTTGGCGTGGGTTTCCTCCGGGTGCTCTGGTTTCCCCCACAAGTCCAAAGACATGCGCTTTAGGTGAATTGGCTAAATTGAAAGCTAAATTGGAAGTAGAAGCTAAATTGTCCGTAGTGTATGTGTGCGAATGAGTGTGTATGGATGTTTCCCAGAGATGGGTTGCAGCTGGAAGGGCATCCACTGAGTAAAACATATGCTGGATAAATTGGCGGTTCATTCCGCTGTGGTGACCCCAGATCAATAAAGGGACTAAGCCGAAAAGAAAATGAATGAATGAATGAAATAGAATTTCCTATTTAAGGCTCGATTATTCTGTAGTTACATTGTGTTATAAGACTTACAGAAAATGAAGTTAGAATTTTCTAAAGAAACTACATAGCTGGGAACTAGTCTCATTTGGTGTAATAATAATTAAATTTTTTGTGCAATGGCCCAATTATGTGTCTGCATAGTTGCAAGATCTATGCTAAGTTGGCTAAGCTAAGCTAAAAGTGTTTGGGCCATACCTGGAGACTGGCTGAAAGAATTTAATTCACTTATTCATTTTCCTTCAGCTTAGTTCCTTTATTCATCAGGGGTTTCCACAGCGGAATGAACCGCCAACTTATCCAGTATATGTTTAATACAGCGGATGCCCTTATAGCTGCAAACTAGTACTGGGAAACACCTATACACACTCATTTACACACACTCTACAGCCAATAGAGTTTATTCAATTCACCTACAGTATAGTAGGTGTTAGACTGTTGGGGAAACCAGAGCACCTGGAGAAAACCCACGCCAACACGGGGAGAACATGCAAACTCCACACAGAAATGCCAATTGACCCAGCCGGGACTCAAACCAGCAACCTTCTTGCTGTGAGGCGACAGTGCTAACCTCTGAGCCACTGTGTCGCCCCGGAAATTATTTAAAAATGATAAAAAGAACCTGTTAACTTTAAAAAAGTGGAGAATTCCTTAAATGCTCTACTGAAAAAAGTCACCTACAACCTTAAAGTGAGAAAACTAACAGCAAATTTTCCTTTCTTGGGTGAATTATTCATTTAAAGCAGAGCTGAACCACAACAAACCATATGAACATCAACAGAACAGTCCATCAGCAAAAAATCATATTGCATTTATCAACAAAATTCAAGTAAAACAGGACGTAGCGACCTAAAATGAGCTGTAAAAAACAAGTCGTCGGCTCGGAGTAATTATAAGAATCAAATCCAGTTGAGCATTATTTTGATCTGAGATGCACACATCCTAATATTCAATGAATATCCAACTTGCGTGTAATCATCAGGTCAGAATATTGCGCAGTATGTACATTTCGGAGAAACCAGTAAAGAAATAAACGCAAATATATACACAATTCAAAACTAAAAAACAAAACAAAACGGTGTTTACAGCGTTTCTGTACAAAACTGGAAAAAAAGTAAGATATTTCATCAGGCTGTTGTTCTTCTTACATCTGAGCGACATAATAAATAAATCCCAGCCCTTATTTTGTAAATAACCAACGATGATGATGTTAGTGAGTGCCATCTAGGAATGTGCAACTAACTCTATTGATTGTACCACCGGTTTCTGATTGGCCACAGCGCACATCTAATGCGTTTAAAGGAACACTCCTCTTCTTTTGGATATAGGATCATTTTAGAGCTAGACAGTTGAATATCACCCTTTTTGAATCCATTTAACTGATCTCCAGGTCTGACGGGAGCACTTTTAGCTTAGCTTAGCATAAATCATGGAATCGGATTAGACCATTAGCATCTCTCTGAAAAAAAATGAGATTCTATTGTGTACTAAAACATACAGGAAATTGAATGTTGCTATTTTCTAGATCGATGTGGCTTGGAACTACACTCACATTTTGGTGTAATAATCAAGGATATTTGCTGCTGTACCATGGTATTACGCACATCTAATATTTTTTATTAGCTGAGGACTATTTTTGGGCACTGCTCAATATCATTACACCTACTGAAGCCATGGTACAGCAGCAAATACTCATGATCATTACGCCAAAATGAGATTATAGTTCCTAGACACATCATTCCTTTTACTTTGGCTTAGTTTCATATTAATCTGGGGTCACCACAGCGGAATGAACCACCAACTTATCTAGCACATGTTTTACGCATTGGTTTGTACAGTGGGGGAAACCGGAGCACCCAGAGGAAACCCACGCCAACAAGAGGAGAACATGCAAGCTCCATACAGAAACTCCAACCGGCTAAGCCGGGGCTCGAACCAGTTGACTTCTTGCTGTGAGGCAACAGTGCTAACCACTGAGCCACCGTGCCGCCCTAGACACATCAGCTTAGAAAGACTTTTAATACAAAATATAACTAAAAAAGGAAAATTATGAAAACTTTTTTTGTGAAGTTTTTGGGAAAGATGCTAACGGTCTAATCCGAATCAATGATGTATGCTAAGCTAAGCTAAAAGTGGTCCCATTTAGTCCCAGAGATTGGCTGAATGGATTTTAAAAAATCCATTTTTCAAAGAAAAAATAAAAGTGGAGTGTTTCTTTAAGTGTCTATGGTGGATAAGCGTGTTATCTTACAGCTGTTCATATAGGAATGTCTAACATTCGGGAATATTGGTGCAGAGAACCGTGTCATCATGCATCGGCTCAGCTTTAATCCTCTCCTGATGCCTTTCAGCTCTGGCTTTCGTCCTGTGTCTCGTTCTCTGCACCGCTGTCCCGTCGCACCCAGACAACATCATCAGATGTCGCTTGCTCGTCAACGCTGGCCACAGACATGGCGCACTGCTTCCCCACATCGGACAGCTTTGCATGCTGGGATTTGCAGTCCTTCCTGCTGTCCTCCTCCTCCGCTTCCTCTTCCTCCTCGGCCGTGTCTCCCTCCAGTGAGAGTGTGGAGAGCAGCGGTTCTGTGGACGGGCTCATGGCGGATGGACAGAAGTCCTCATCATCACTCAGGATGTCGGTTTCCTTCACGTCCTGCTCCTGCTCCTCGTAGCGCTGAAGGTCAAACTGTTCCTCCACCCAGCGGTCGGTGTCGCCAGCGGGAACGCCAATGGTTTGCTGAGCATGCTGGGAGTCTGGCGAGTCGCTGTCCGGCTCGGTGTCGAAAACGATGTCAGTATCGATGGTGAAGCGGTTGCGCACCAGTTTCCTACGGCCCAGGGTCCGAGAAGGGGCAGACACTGAGGAGATAGTAAAGAAGAGAAGATGATGCCAATCATTGAAGACTTCGAGGACAACACATTTAATACCAAATACACTACACATGTACACACAGACGACATCCTCTATATACTTCATCACTGCAGGTTAACAAGTCTTTCATTCATTATCTTTTCGGCTTAGTCCCTTTATTCATCAGGGGTCGCCACAGTGGAATGAACCGCCAACTTATCCAGCATATGTTTTACACAGTGAATGCCCTTCCAACTGCAACCCATCACTGGGAAACACCCATACACTTTCATTCACACACACACACACTACAGACAATATTGCTTAGCTAATTCACCTATAGCGCATGTGTTTGAACTGTGAACGAAACCGGAGCATTTGGCTGGGACTCAAAACAGTGACCTTGCTGTGAGTCAACAGCGCTACCCACCGCACCATCGTGCCGCACATTATGTTTATATATATAGCTTTAACTGTTAAAGCTATTAGCTACTAATACTCATACTGTTTTATGTAAAAATAGGCTTGACAGACATGCATGATCATTATTTTCATGTCTCACATATTTTGAAGCAGTGTTCAATATTGAGAAAAAAAACATTGATGAGCGCTGCGTCTCACGACTTTAGACCCAATATTAACATCAGTGTTGGGTGTAATGAGTTGCAAAGAAGTTTGTTACAGTATTTTTGACTTACATTTTATGCTGAAAAAGTAAAGTAAGAGATTACTTTTAACTTTTAGCTCATTTAATTACAGTTATTAATAATATGTGTGCTTTAAATACTGTAAATAAATTCAACAGTTCTATATACAGCTGAAGTCAGAATTATTCCCCCCCTTTGAATTTTTTTTCTTTTTTTAAAAATTTGAATGATGTTTAACAGAGCTAGAACATTTTCACAGTATGTCTGATAATATTTTTTCTTGTTTTATTTTGGCTAGAATTAAAGCAGTTTTTAATTTTTAAACACAATTTTAGGGTCTAAATCAGGGGTGTCAAACTCAATTCCTGGAGGGCCGAAGCCCTGCACAGTTTAGTTCCAACCCTGCTCCAACACACTTACCTGTAGGTTTCAAACAAGCCTGAAGGACTCAATTAGTTTGATCAGGTGTGTTTAATTAGGGTTGGAACTAAACTGTGCAGGCCTGTGAGTTTGACAGCTGTGGTCTAAATGATTAGCCCCTTTAAGCTATATCTTTTTTACTGATAGTCTACAAAACAAACCATCGTTATACAATAACTTGCCTAATTACCCTAACCTGCCTAGTTAACCTAATTAACCTAGTTAAGCCTTTGAATGTCACTTTAAGCTGTATAGAAGTGTCTTGAAAAATACCTAGTCAAATATTATTTACTGTCATCATGACAAAGATAAAATAAATCAGTTATTAGAGATGAGTTATTAAAACTATTATGTGTAGAAATGTGTTGAAAAAATCTGCTCTCCATTAAACAGAAATTGGAGGAAAAAAAAAAAGGAGGGTTAATAATTCACGGGGGCTAATAATTCTGACTTCAACTGTATATAATCTAAATTAATTAGTATTATTTTAAGTCTTATTTTTCAACAAAAGATCATTTATTAAGACAATTATACATGCTTAAGAAAAAAAAAAAGGCCATTCAAAATTCCAGTTTATTTAAAATATACATTTTTAATTATTTAATATTTTTTTGGAAGGATACTATTTACTGTACACTACCTGACAAAAGTCTTGTCGCCTATCCAAGTTTTAGGAGCAGCAAAAAAAAACTTGTCTTCTAGTTGATCATTTGGTATCAGAAGTAGCTTACATGAAAGGCAAAGGCCTCTAGATTATGCTTATTTTACCAAAATAAAATATGATCATGCCTTGATTTTGAATGATTTAATTAGGACAGTAAGGTCTGACTTGCTTAACCAAAAGTCTTTTCACTTAAAAGAAATAATGTCCAGTATAGAATATAAAGTCATGCTGCAGTGGAAACAGAGTGAATATTGTGTCTGACTTCATCATGAGCTTGGAGGACTGCATCCATACATCTCTGCAATGACTCAAATAACTTCAGTCATCTGGAATGGCAAAGAACGCGTTCTTGCAGGACTCCCAGAGTTCATCAAGATTCTTTATGATTCGTCTTCAATGCCTCCTCCTTCATCTTACCCCATGCTCAATAATGCTCATGTCTGGTGATTGGGCTGGCCAATCCTGAAGCACCTTGACCTTCTTTGCTTTCAGGAGCTTTGATGTGGAAGCTGAAATATAAGGAGCAGCGCTATCCTGCTGAAGAATTTGCCCTCTCCTGTGGTATTGTGCCCACTCAATACACAACTCCTTAACCTTTCTGATTTTGGCTGTAATGTAATGATGTGCACCTTTTGTGAAGCTGCTTTGGAAGGATAATTATAGTGTAAAGCGCTACATAAATAAACGTGAATTGACTTGAATAACATTTAAAGTATCCCTGCTGAATCTAGTGATTAATTTCTTTCCAAATGCATTGAGTGAGTGTCGATGATCTGTGTTTACCTGCTCTGTTCATGGCCGGTCGGGCTCCTTTAAGAGCACACAGGCGTTTTCCTCCAAAGGGAACGTACTGCTGGCTGAGAGGAAGACTTTCTGTCTTCAAGAGCTGACGCCGCTGTTTATCTCTCAGGATGGAGTGAACCGTCTTCAAGAAGTCCTTCTTACTCTCTGGAGAGCTGCAGGACCAATTAAAGAGACATTTGCAGAGATATCAGATTATTAATCTATTTTTAGTGAGCTATCCCTTTAAGTGAATTTGAGTTGCAGTACAGGGTTTCTCCAGCAGATGGTGACAGTGTGTTTTTAGTGATGTTTTCTAAGGCTTTTCTAGGACACTGACCTGCAGCAGAGCTGAAACACTCGCTCTGGTCTTCCCTCTGATTCAGACTTGATATGGACGATCTCACACACTGCTGCGCTCTCTCCATCTGTTAACACACACACTATGATCAGGGCCATGTTTCGTTAAGGTCATGCAAACATTGATAGCAGGCTGTGTCCGAAATGGCCCCTATAACCTCAAAGTTTTCTTTGAAATGTGTCGTTTTTATTTAATGTTTGATGTAATCTCAACTGAAAAATAAAAAGAGGGTGGGATATAGTAATGATTTTAAATCACACTGAACTGAGCTAAACTGAACTGAACTTAAACACTAAAAACTGAACTACACTGTTCCAGTTACTATGACCATTTATGTGAAGCTGCTTTGACACAATCTACATTGTAAAAGCGCTATACAAATAAAGCTGAATTGAATTGAGTTGAATATAGAGTAGCCCCTCCCCTTTTTAAAAAACAGCCGATAGCGTTTCGTTTTAATAACAGTTCTGGCAGTGAGAGTGGTTGAGACAGCTCACTGGGTGTTAAATAACTATGACATGTCTGAACTACAAGTTTACAATCTAATTCATTTGAGGGGTTTATCGACCTGTAAAAATAAACAAAATGTTGTTTTCGCTTTAGCTCGTTTTCATTCACTCTATTAAGTGGACTATATCAGTGAACTAATGTAGAGAATAGTGTGTGTACAGGTAAATGTGGTTTACAGGGACATAAAGTTGTATAATGGCATTGGTATGACTTAGTTGTACTCTATTAAGATGGTTTACAGCAGGGGTGTCAAACTCAATTCCTGGAGGGCCGAAGCCCTGCACAGTTTAGTTCCAACCCTGCTCCAACACACTTACCTGTAGGTTTCAAACAAGCCTGAAGGACTCAATTAGTATGATCAGATGTGTTTAATTAGGGTTGGAACTAAACTGTGCAAAGCTGCGGCCCTTTTAGAACGGAGTTTGACACCTGTGGTTTACAGGGTCACACATTGTTTCCCTCTAATTCAAAACACTTAAAAAATCTCACTTAAGGCCCATTTCCACTGAGTGGTACGAAACGGTTCGGTTTGGTTTTATGGCCATTTCCACTGTCAAAAGGTGTACCGAACCGAACCGTACCGTACCACTTTTTCGGCACCCTTTCGAAAGGGTACCAAACACTAGAAAGGTTACCAAAAGGTGGAGCTAGATGCGCAGCTGAACGCTATTGGTTTACAGAGATACGTCATTCGCTTACGCAACAAGCCAGAATGTAAACAAAGGACCCGCCATGTTTAAAATACACAGTAAGAGATTACAGCGGAATTATTTATACATATAATAACGAGCCATGGTCGATCCGGGCTCAAACAAACCTTGTCATCGTCTTGATGAACAGCCACAAAGCCATGGAATAGAGCAGAATCTACCCTGTCTCATAGTTTTTTACGAGTCAGTCTGACGCGCGAGCGGTTTCGCTTTCTTGCGCTCGCCGCGCGTCTATATCTGAAATAACAAACTTCTTGAGCTGATGAAAATAACGTGCGCTTGATTATTGACGTGTTTTTGAAACCCGATCCTGTCAGACACTGACAAACGCGAGAGTCGGAAAAAGGGGCACATTATTTCCTCAGCAAACATGAACAAACTTCCTTCATTTTTATCATCACCTTTTGGACTAATATGAACTGGGAATAATGGAATGACTCTCTAACAGAGGCTACATGTGCTGCTGAAGATTACAGACACAGATAAGAGGTTTTCACAGACTTTAGGCTATATTCTGTGTTGTTTTGAACCTAAATAAGCAGTAAATGTCTGCTGTGTGTAGTTTTTCTGTAGTTGGTAACATATCGGACACTGTAAGTGTCTGTATGTGTTCATATATTTTCATTTATTCATTTATTTAATATAATTACAGACGTTACAGTAGGCTATTTCGCACTGTCATTGATCTGCAGTTATAATCAAATCCTGTTCATAGAAAAGTTAGTAATAAACATTTATACAGTAGTATTTTTGCGTGTAAAGCATTTGTTTTGTGAGAAGTGCTTTTCATATATGTGAGTGACCTATACAGCTTTTCTGTAGACATTTCCTCGAGCGAGAATGATTCGACTGAAACTTTTGTCATACACCACGCCCACCAAAAGGGTACCCTTTGAGCTCACCTGTGTTGGACAGCGTGCGCACCTGGAGCGCATCAGTGGGGATCATGTGGCGGAAGCGGAACGGATCTTTCTCTTCCCCTGAGACTGAGGCTCTATGAGAACCGCCCTGTGTGTCAACAACGGCTCATTATTCTGATGCTGCACAGTACTGAACACCCAGTTAACAGAGGGATATTTCTTTAAGAATGGAAGAAAAGGAGAATGAGGAGAGTGTTCTGCTCTGATTCTGCACATCACACTCACCATTTTCTTCTTCTGCTTGGAGTAATCTTTACAGACGAACACCACTGCAGTCTTAAACACTGAAGAAGAAACACACAACAGCACACTTCAGTTCACTTCATCTTCACACATCCATATCATCTACACATCTATTAACCTTTTTATACATCATCATTTATATCCATCTACTCATGTCTATCATCCATCCATATATTGTCACCCTAGAATTATAAGGTTCAATCTGACATTTTTGATAAAATTGAGTTATTGACATATTCTTATTAAATGACAACTTATTTACATGATGGGATGTTTTTTATAAGTTGTTTTCATTTTATTTTTATTTTTTTAAAACAATTTTTTTTAATTATTTAAAAACAAATGTTACACACATACTGTTTGCTATATGGAATGCAAAAACTTTGAAGCTCAATATCTCAAAATCATTCAGAACACATATAGAACCTTACAATTCCAAGGTGATGATATGTCTATATATCATCCTTCTACTCATCAATCCATGTATAACTATCTGTATCTATCCATCCATCACTCAGTTTATCCATCCATCCATCTTCTTCCATCTATCTATCTATCTATCTATCTATCTATCTATCTATCTATCTATCCATCCATCCATCCATCCATCCATCTATCCATCCATCAATCCATCCATACATCCATCCATCCATCCATCCATCCATCCATCCATCCATCGATTTGTATCATCTGCATAGCTATTTATTCATTTATACATCATAATTTATATCCATCATCTATCATCCAACCATCCGTATATTTGTCATCCATCTACACATCAATCCATATATAATTATCCGTATCCATCCATCCATCCATCCATCCATCCATCCATCCATCCATCCATTCATCCATCCATCCATCCATCCATCCATCCATCCATCGATTTGTATCATCTGCATAGCTATTTATTCATTTATACATCATCATTTATATCCATCATCTATCATCCAACCATCCGTATATTTGATATCCATCTACTCATCAATCCATATATAATTATCCATATCCATCCATCCATCCATTAATCAATTTATCCATCCATGCTTAAATCCGTCTATCAATACCTTTTATTCATGCATGCATTCATCCATCCATATATCCATCAATTAATAAAATGTTTGATCACCCATGGTGATCCAACATTGATCCATCCATCCATCCATCCATCCATCCATCCATCCATCTACACAACAATTCATATATTCATCTAATTACATATTCATCTATATTTGTCCACAAATTCATCTATTTTTTATCTAACTTCTCATCCAACCAGCCAATTACATTTCCATATATCCTGTCTTTCATCCATCTATCATCTACTCGTCTACCCATTTATTATCAGCCCAATCAACCATCAATCCATCCATTTTTTAATCTAGACAAAATTTGATCTATTCACCCATCCATTTCTCCATAAATCTATCCCCCCTTCAATCTCTCCATCCATCCATCTATCCAGGCCTGAGTGGAGCTTGTGTGGAACAGAGCGTACCGAATGTGGCCAGCTGTGGCTCTTTCTTGCACTTTCCTAGAGAGGAGGACGGGTTGATCCATGTCACGCTGCTGTGGAGGAGTAAATCTCCCATAGACAAGTCAGCAACCTGTAATCATAGCGGACGCCACCGTTAGACACACACACTCTCACACACACCCACACACATGTTTGTTTTTGTGAAAAGTGGGGACATTACATAGGTTTCCATTCTGTTATACTGTCCAAACCGTATATTGTATTGCCCTCACCCCACCCCACCCCTAAACCCAACCATCACAGGAGACTGTGTGCAGCTTTACTCTCTGATTAAACTCATTCTGTGGGATTTATAAGCATTTTGAGATATGAGGACGTCACACACACACGCAGGCACTAAGAGATACAGACGAAAATACACATATCACATAAACACACAGACATAGACACAATCATACACACACACACACACACACAAATGCACACATTACATAAATACACACAGATAAACTCACATGCACAGAGAGAGAATACACACAAACACATACTTGCAGTTGCAAATACACACGCGCGCACACAAATGCACACAATACATAGACACACACACACACACACACACACACACACACACACACCTGCATCTCAAACAAAACTGAGACACAAACACACACACAGTACCAGATACACACACAAACGCACTAAGAGAGACAGACAAAAATACACACTACACATAAACACACGAATTACACACATTACATAAACACACACATGCACACAGAAAGAGATAATACACACAAACACATGCTTGCAGTTGCACACACACACACACACACAAATACTTGCATCTCACACACAAAACAGAGACAGAAACTGAGACACACAAACACACACACAGAGACAGACACACACAGACACACAGAAACAGAAACACACAAACACAACTAAACACTTGCATCTCACACACAAAACAGAGAAAGAAACTGAGACACACATATACAGAACACACACAGACTTGTGCGCGCATACATGCTTGCACATACACACACACACACAGAAAGAGAGAGACAAACACATGCAGAGAAAGAAAGGGAGAAAAAGATAGACACACACACACATACTTGTGCACGCATACACACACACACACACACACACACACACAGCTCTCTGCTGAAGTGCAGAAGGGATCTGCTCTGTCTTTGGCTGCATCACTCAGAGCTTCAGCCATATTACACAACCAAACTCAGACTGTATTCACAGAATAAGCTGACAGGATTTAAATAAGGCGGCAGATGCCCGTCCATTCAGGAAGAAAAGAAGAAATCGGATCCAACTCTTTCAACTTTTATCAGCTGCAGAAGAAAAAACCTGGCTGAAAACCCCTCAGACTGTTATTCTGACTTACACTCACGCAACTACAAATAAAGCGCAAATTAACCAGCTGGATCAAATATTAGACTGATATCCTTTACAGTTTTTCTTGTTTGCTTTGACCTGGTTAAAGAAACTAGGTTCCTCTTCATTTTCATTATCACTATGTCAGCAGAGCAGAAGACAGGTCTTGCAAATGTGTAAACCCTTTCTCATTGGGTTGACACATTTTCCCCACCATTTTTCAAAACAGTTAACACAGATGTCATTCAAGCCGTCCAAACTCCATTGTTTTAGTTATGGTAACCAAACAGAAACCATCTATTCCGAACTATTAAAAACTACTAACATCAGTATGAAATCACTGAAGCACCGGTTTGACACTCCTTCACACAAATCTTCAATTAGATATCATTCTGCAAACTTTATAAAAACGATGGAAGGTCTGTGTTGTTCTGTGCCAGCATTGATGGAGGAGGTCAATATGGCTATGTCCTATACTCCCGATAGATTTGACTGTATATTAGTTTACATGTGTTTTCTCTAATATTTACAGTATTTTATTACTTTTGTCTGTTTTTTATACAGTATTTCAGTTTTCAGCCACAGTTTGAAAAATGTCATGAATTCAAAATATATTTAATCAAAGCACATCTTATTCTGGATCCAATTCTTTGCAAAAAGGCAAATATGACAGCCCAAATAGAAAGACAACAAATGCCATTGGCAATAAGCTACAATGGCAAGCAATGGTGGTTATGTATTTTTTATTTTGTTTTCCATTGTGTAATGATTAATTGATAGAGCTCATATACTTGTTTGCAAGTTTTGTTGTTTGAAGGTAAAACTAGCTTTTGTTGCATATTTTAAATGTTTTGACACGATATGTGCCTTTTGCAAGCAAAATGTGTCATTTTGACCATGAGTGCCGCTGTTTAGGCCTGTGTGTTAACTGTTTTGAAAATGTGGAGTTTCAGTTGACAACTGCATCCAAGCAATCAAGAAAAACTGTAATATGACAGTTGTTTATAAAATGTGGCCAGTCATTTTCTTTACAGTTTCTGGGCAAACACAGTTGTGATGCCAAACACATGCGCTATAGGTGAATTGGATGAACTAAGTGATGTTTATTTATAAACAAATTTTGAGAAGATCACCTGCTTATGATTGTTCACAGCTGTTCCAACTTTAGCTAACGACTGATTATCCTATCAGACGATCCTTAACTCACTATAAATAACAAGAATTTTCTCATCTCAATATCTTCGTCTTGAAGAAACCCTCCCACCCAACCCTACTTTCCCTCCTTTCAAACGGGCGTCATGGTGGCCAGCGGTTAGCGCTGTTGCCTCACAGCAAGAATGCATTGGTTTTATTCCTTTCCAAACCAGACGGCATTTCTGTGCGGGGTTTGCTCGCTCTCCCCGTGGTCGCGTGGGTTTTCCCCAGGTCCTCCGGTTTCCTCCCACAGTTCAAAAACAAGCACTCTAAACAATTAATCCAAATACTTTAGCTAAACTCTGAGTACACCTTTCAGCATCCATATCTGACACTTAGCTACAACAAGCAAGAGGGGGAGTCATCGAGATCTACCTGAGCTCAAACTCCCCTCTCGCCTTGCAACGGGAGGGAGCCCAGGGCTCGAGGATCTTATAAGCTCAGGGCTCTCTCCCGGGACAGCACGCCAAACTAGCTATATTATCAATCATCAGCTAAGTGTGAACTCTTGAAATAGACTGTAGTGTATGAGTGTGTGTGAATGTGAGAGTGCATGGGTGCTTCCTATAAGTGGGTTATATCTGGAAGGTCATCCACTGGGTAAAACATATGCTGGAATAGTTGTCAGTTCATTCCGCTGTGGCGACCTCTAATAAATAAGGGATTAATCCAGGGGAAAATAATTGAAAGAATGAAGTGATGTAAAGTTGACGAACCTCTTTCTTTTCTCCAGTCTGCTCAGAGATGAGGAGGTCAAACACAGCTCCAAACTCCTCGTGGATCTTCTGCATCTCATTGATGTGGCTGGCCACTGTGTTCATGGCTTTCATTGCAACTGCACACAGCAGAGAGGAGAGATCAAATAGCAGTCAGGTATCATGAGCCAAGTTCATTAAGAGTTTAAGAACAAACTTGTGTATACATATGCAGCAGAGGTCAGCTAGTAAGTGCTGTGCAGGTAAACCTCACTCCTCTGACCTCTACAGGTGCTCTAGCGACAGACGCTAAAGGCTATGGTCTTTAGCCTCCTTGGTAGAGCAACCGACTCCCATGCTGAAGGTTGCCGGTTCGATACCAGCTTGGAGCGGGTTGGGTGGCGTAGGTCCGGCGGGGTTACATTGGTGCCGTGACCCGGATGGGAGTGAGGTTTAGGGGGGTGAGTGTAACGGAGGCCAGCTAGTAAGTGCTGTGCTGGTAAACCTCACTCCTCTGACCTCTACAGGTGCTCTAGCGACAGACGCTAAAGGCTATGGTCTTTAGCCTCCTTGGCAGAGCAAACGACTCCCATGCAGAAGGTCGCCGATTCGATACCAACTCGGAGCTGGTTGGGTGGCGTAGGACCGGCTGGTTACATTGGTGCCGTGACCCGGATAGGAGTGAGGTTTAGGGGGGTGAGTGTAATGGAGACCAGCCAGTAAGTGCTGTGCAGGTAAACCTCACTCCTCTGACCTCTAAAGGTGCTCTAGTGACAGACGCTAGTGGTCTTTAGCCTCCTTGGTAGAGCAACCGACTCCCATGCTGAAGGTTGCCGGTACGATACCAGCTTGGAGCGGGTTGGGTGGCGTAGGACCGGCAGGTTACATTGGTGCCGTGACCCGGATGGGAGTGAGGTTTAGGGGGGTGAGTGTAATGGAGGCCAGCCAGTAAGTGCTGTACAGGTAAACCTCACTCCTCTGACCTCTAAAGGTGCTCTAGCGACGGATACAAGAGGCCATGGTCTTTGGCCTCCTTGGTAGAGCAACAGACTCCCATGCGGAAGGTCATTGGTTTGATACAAGCTTGGAGCGGGTTTGGTGGCGTAGGACCGGCAGTGTTACACATACGTGAGACCCAGTACTTAGCAAACTGTACACTTTTTATATTTTTTAATAAAAAGTGAGCACTCAAACAACCCCCCCCCTCCTCCATCCCTAAAAAAAATCAGCAGCTTGTGAAATGGCTAGTTTTAAACCACAATAATTCATTAGTATGGTGTAAGGCCTCTTTTTGCAGCCAATCCAGCATCAATTCATCTCGTGAATGACAGATACAAGTCCTGCACTGTGACCAGAGCAATTTTAAGCCATTCTCCTTGCAGATGCTGGTGGAGAAAAACAATTCCTGACTCACTCCTCCAAAACACTCAAATATGGCTCAACAATATTTGGATCTGGTAACAGTGCAGGCCATGAGAGATGTTCAACTTCACTTTTATGTTCATCTATCCACTCTATCACCAGTCTTGCTGCGTGTACTAGTGCATTAACATCCTGATACACAGCAAGGCCATCAGGATACATTGTTTGAACCTGTTTGCACAGGGTACTCCAAGAGGATTCAGTAGTCCTTGTCAGTGACATGCCATCTAGCACAAGTACTGGGCCAAGGGAACGCCATGATATTGCTGCCCAAACCATCACTGATACACCCCCATGCTTCACAGTCTGGGTGCTAGGTTTCTTTGGGGCTTCTCCACACTGTAACTCTCCTGGACGTGGGAAAGATGGTAAAGGTGGACTCATCAGAGAACATCATCAGTTTCATATTGTCCAACCCCAGTATATCCATGTGGATGCTACACTCTGGTGGTGGAGAGACCCCTCGTAATATTTTTAAGTGCTTTGGGTGTATGGTCACAGAGCAAAGGTGCCCAAACTCATCCTGGAAGGCCGATGTCCTGCATAGTTTAGCTCCAACTTCCTTCAACACCCCTGCCTGGAAGTTTCTAGTATACCTAGAAAGAGCTTGATTAGCTGGTTCAGGTGTGTTTAATTGGGGTTGGAACTAAAATATGCAAGATACCATCCCTCCTGAACAGAGTTTGGGCACCCCTGCTATATAGGATAAATGTGCCAGACAGGATAAATATGTTTTTGACAATAAAGTTCAATTGTTGCAATAAAACATAAACAAAATATTTAACATTTAATTCAAGCACTATTTAAGAACCTATATTTGTTTTTTAAGTACTTTCCAGGCCTTGAATTCTAAAATTCAGGCACTTTCAAGAAGCGTGAGAACCCTGTATATTAATGCGCATTAGATTAGATATATGCTTAAGCTGACCGTTGAGGTGGTAGTGCTCTTCGCTGTCAGGGTCAGTGAGCGAGTGTAGTTCTCTCAGCAGCAGAGGGTATTTCAGCACTCTCTGGATGGGCTTGATCAGGTATGACTCCAGCGTGGACGAATGCTGCTGTTTGGGGTTACGTTCATCCAGAAAGGCCTTGAAGGCTGCGTCTGTCTTCGCTGGAGGAAACACAAACAGACAAATTGGAGATTAGACCGTCATATCCACCCTTTTCCACACATGAACTCATGCATTTGTGATTTAGGGAAACAAATAATAAAGGGGAATCAACTAATAAAGTTGTGCTACAAAGAATCCACATACAGAATGGAAACTGAATGAGATCACTATCTGAATTTGCGTTTAATTCCAAAACACTCTAAAGTGGCTCACTAATATTTAGTTCAGGTGATTGTGCAGGCCATGGGAGATTGGTTTGCAGTCAAAACAGCATCAATTCATCTTGGGAATGACAGATACAAGTCCTGCACAGTGGCCAGAGGGATTTCGAGGCATCTTTCTTGCAGAATAGTGGTCAGGGCACTACATGATGCTGGTTACCTGACTCTCTCCACCAAAACACCCCAAAGTGGCTCAATAATATTTAGGTCGGGTAACTGTGCAAGCCATGGGAGAATGGTTTGCAGCCAATACAGCATCAATTAATCTTGGGAATGACCGATACAAGTCCTGCACAGTGGCCAGAGGGATTTTCAAGCATCTTTCTTGCAGAATAATGGTCAGGTCACTAAATGATACTGGTTTACTGACTCGCTCCACCAAAACACCCTAAAATGGCTCGATAATATTTAGTTCAGGTGATTGTGCAGGCCATGGGAGAATGGTTTGCAGCCAATACAGCATCAACTTATCTTGGGAATGACAGATACAAATTCTGCACAGTGACCAGAGGGATTTTCAGTCATTTTACTTGCAGAATAGTGGTCAGGTCACTACATGATGCTGGTTTCCTGACTCACTTCACCAAAACACTCCAAATTAGCTCAATTATGTTTACATCGGGTGACTCTGCAGGACATGGGAGATTGGTTTGCAGCCAATACAGCATCAATTAATTTTAATTTTGGGAATGACAGATACAAGTCCTGCACAGTGGCCAGAGAGATTTTCATATATTCTAAATTCATATATTTCTAAATATATTCTAAATTTCATATATTTTAAAAGGGGTTATAGTATAAACCAATGATAAAAAAAAAGCTATTTTACCAAATCAAATCATGTGGTACTGTTTTTATATAATTTAAAATGGTCTCCAAATGTATTCAAAAGTTCAACCTTAGATATTGCTTGATAATAATAGCAGGTTTGGCATGCTGTTCCGGGAGAGAACCCTGAACTCAGAGATAATTGAGCCCAGGGCTCCAGCCTGGCAAATGAGCATGTAAGGAGATGAGGTAGGTCTCAAGAGCTCCCTCGGGTAAAAAAGGAAAAAGGGGATATGGAGTGGATGGGGGATTCTTCAAAAATGAAGACATCGCCCCCTTCATATGGGGATTCAGCCCCAACACTTGACTGAAGGCGTGTCTGAAGTTGGGGCTAACGCGATCGTCCTAGCAGCGTCAGCCAATGAAATTCAGTTAGCAGTAGACCACTGTCTAGCTGGTGTATTTGCATACAGCGATCTGATTGGCTGACGCTTCCGTCGACACTTGAAAAGTGTCTCTGAAGTGGCGCCGACGTATCCACAACGCAGTTCGGCAACGCCTGACGCGTGAATGGGGCGTTAGAGAGTAATGCTAGACAGACTATTTATAATGAGTTTGGAAAAATCAGATTGGCTTACTAATGACTACAAATGAGAGAAGAATATGTGATCTTCTCAATCAATGGTAAACAGATGCAAACTTCTGAAAACCACAATTTTCAATTATTTCAATGAAACCACAAATTCAATAAATCAATTATTAATAACATTTCACAAAGTTTAATACTTAATTGGTACTTTAATGTAATTGCAAGCACATCTGTAGCTCTTTTGAATTCACTTTTGTTTACTTCAGATTATTTTCTCTTTGTCTTTCTCTACTTCCCGACAGTTCAGTAATGTTTAATATACGTCTGTCAAAATGCTGAAGAAAGATTCATTTTTGTGGGGTTATTCATAGTTTCCGAAAATAGTTTGTTAATTTTAATAATTGTCTCCTCACAGCAAGAACGTTGCTAGTTCGAGATTGCATCCAAAACACGCAACTTAAGTTAATTGACAAATCCAAATCGGCACCATAGACATTCTCCAAGTAAGTAGTTATCTCTTAAGAGCAGTCACTATCTTTTCATTAGTTACTACAGCAGGGGAGTTCTCGAGATCTACCTGAGCTCAAGCTCCCCTCTCATCTTGCAAAGGGGGGTAGCCCTGGGCTCAAGGAACTTATGAGCTCGGGGCTCTCTCCCGGTACAGCATGACAAACAAGCTTTATAATCAATCATCAGCTAAGTGTGAACTCTTAAAACTGAATTGTCCATAGAGTATGTGTGTGAATGAGTGTGTATGGGTGTTTCCCAGTACTGGGTTGCAAATGGAAGGGCATTCGCTGTGTAAAACATATACTGGATAAGTTGGTGGGTTATTCTGCTGGGTCAAACCCTGATGAATAAAGGGACTACGCAGAAGGAAAAAAGTGTAAGACAAAGCTTTGATGGTGATAGAAATCATTTGTTATGCTTTTCAGAAGCACAAAATAAAACTCAAAATATTTTCAGGCACATTAGATTCTGGAAAACCCTGTTATATAACCCTCACAAACCCACTGAATTAATGATAAATAAAACAAATAGACAGAGAGAAGACCACCGAGCTCACAGACACTTACACACACACATCCACAACACACACTCTCCACATTCAAAGACACAGACACCCACACACACATCCACACACACGCTCTCCACTCAGACAAACAAACGCTCCGCATTCACAATTCACATACACAAACACTCTACGCACAAACACATACGCTTAGACACACTGCAGTATCTGTGATAATCCTGCCGTACCTTTGACCAGCACTTTGGGCACTTTGGTGTGGCTGGCACAGAAGGCGCTGTAGATCTTGAAGCGGTCGGCGTAATACAGGAATGAGCCGCCCAGAGAAAACAGGATCTTCTGTGAGACGGAGGGATTTGGAGAGAAAGGTGTCAGGAGTGTGTAAGGCTGTTATGAGCGAACACCGTACATGCACACTAAACATTGTATTACCATCACATACAATACATCCAATAGAAAAAAAAAAATAATAAGGTTTATTTGAAAGAGAAAGTATGATTTATATAACTATTGTATTACTCCTGCTGTTATTTTATCATTTATTATATTATATTATATTATATTATATTATTTTATATTATTTATTAATTTTTCTTCGGCTTAGACCCTTTCTTAATCAGGGGTCACCACAGCTAAATAAACCACCAACTTATCCAGCACGTGTTTTTTGTTATTTTATTTATATTTTATTATATTTTTATATTTATTTTCATTATTATTTACAATTCCTTATTTATTGTATCTTTAATATTATAATAATAATAGTCATTATTAATAATAATAATTAAATATTAAATAATATTACATATATTAAAATGTATCAATATTAATCTACTAAAAGATATTAAAGTAAATGCATTGCTAACATTTTATTACTAATAAAATGATTACATTTAAATATATATATGTATATATTAATATTATTTAAATAAAATATAATCCTATTATTATTTTGATTATTATGTATTGTAATATTATTATTATTATTAATAATAATAATTACTATGTCTACGTCTTATATTTTATTTTTCACCCAACTCCGACTGTTTATTTATGTATTTATTGTAATATTATGATTACATTATTATT